TTTCTAATTTATTTCCGTTCCTTTGTTTAGTAATCTATTATCACATTTGTCTTTGTCTCAGGTATTCTCGTTACCAAATCCACATCAATATGCTGTTTCAGTTAGATGAACTATTTGGTGTTTACCTTAATGTACTCCTTGTTGCAAACAGTGGGAAAATTCCAGCTTTTTGTACCTTTGCAAAACTATTAGCTTCCTAGATATCTTACATACAATATATTAAACTTATGTTTCTTTTATAAGATATGCTTGTGTATGCACAGAGAACAATTAGCTTTGAGTTGGCACTGAATTGCTTGATGTCTTGTTGAAGAACAAGACTCAAATATGCTGAGCACATGTCGGAGCAAAGTAACAGAAAACAAATCGAGCATTTCATTCTTGTGGATAAGTTTACATTTCTGGTGGTGTCCATGTTGTTGTCTTTATGTGACAACAACGAAAGTTTGCTCAATTTGATCTCCAGCAAAGTTGTCTGTCCAGAGTTATTCAAGGTTCTGGCGAGGGCGGAGCGCTTTGTAGTCCAATGATGTTGTCACTTCACAAGTTTTGATGGCTGAAAAGCAAGTAGTGACTGCTGATGTTGTGAAGGCATTGCATAAGTTCCTCACCAAAGTCACATATTTGATGTGAATAACAAATTTGTTGTGAAGGCATTTATTCACATGTGTTCTATTCAACCTGAATCTTAAGCAAAACTAGTATTGGGTTGTCTAATTCTTGGGCCTTTATCCTCAAGTACTGTACTTAAAATGCACAACTAGTATTGGGTTGTCTAATTCTTGGGCCTTTATCCTCAAATACTGTACTTAAAATGTGCACTGTGTCACGGATCTAGAGAATTTACTAAGATTTCGTGCGATACTCGATAACTTACTCACGAATCTTTCACGATCTTGTAAAGTAAGCTTTTAAGACTCGGAACGCTAAGAGAATGTAAAGAAAGGGCAAAAGAGAACTTTAGAAGAAGGCTTGTATTACTACTTTGGTTGATTGTTGGATGAATGATTTACAAATGAGACATCCTCCTATTTATACTACATCCTAAGAGCTTAAGTGTAAATAAAATTTACTCTACAAGTCTTTCTAATACCTAAACTTTAGTCCATATTCTAGAGAATTCTACATTTTCTAGAATATGCTAAACTCTTCCAAAAAGATCTAAAGTGTTCTAGAGAATTCTCTATTCTCCACATAACTAAAAGGTTCTAGAGCTCTCTGTAAACCTCTTCAAGACTTTAGATCCTTCTCCCCCATTCGGACGTAAAATCTGGCTGGAATTGTGGCGGGACATCACAATTGACTGAAAAAATTGGGTCATATATAATTAATTTCACAAAAATATTAGTGAAACTTGAATAAATTTGACTATCAAAATAATAAATCTAAATTAGTAATTAAAATAAAAAAGTTATAAAAAATAATACATGTTTGAGGAGGATTAAATATACCCATATGAAATTATATTTTTTAGAATAATTAAACTAAAGCTAATTTTTTCACTTTCGTTAGAAAAATATATGTGAATGAATAATAGCTTATAAGTTATTGTTTTTGAAGAAATGTTGAATACTACTTGTAGAAAAAATAAACTTTTCATGACAAATTAAGGAATTATTATAAGAAATTTGACATATTTAGAGTACTATATCTTCAAAAATAATTTAAAATAAGAATAATTATATTATCAATTAAAAACTAGAAAAAGTTAGTTATATAAAAGTTTTTAATAATTCAAATTTAAAACTTTTTTATTTAGACCATTAATATGCTTGAGCCGCTCCAGCAATAATTATATATTGTATATGAGCTATGTAGTAGACAAAGAAGAGTTAAAGAAACTTAAATTCAAAATATGTAAAAAAGGCCTACTACCAACAAATCCTAATTAAATACAATTAACTAAATAGCATAAATATCAAATTCTAATTTCTAAACTAATTAGAAATTCTAGCTTTTGCAATATATCACACATAATGTATTCAAATAAAACTTATATATTCAGATGACTTTTATTTTAAGTAATTTTTGTAATATTAAAAATAGGAATAAAATGTAATTTAAATTTTATATTATGAGATTTATGTAATGTATACAATAATATATATCCTAAACTATTAAGGAGTCATATTTTTAATTTATTTTCTAGGAGAAGAAATGTAATTTGTTAATTTCTATTTGAGATTCAGAAATATTACTCCTTTTCTTTAAAAAAAATTATTATTATTATTATGATTATTATTATTATTATGTACAAGAAACCTAATCCTAAAAAGAGAGAATTATAATTCCTTAATTTCTATTTGGTATTCGAAAATATATCTTCTTTTTTTTTAATTCGCACCATATTCTTTCCTTCTTATTGATTTTTCTATCATATTATGAATTACAAAACAACTAAAAGCAAAATAGGAATATTGCAAATAAGCGTAATCATAGTAGAAGTAAATAAGTTTCAAATATAGTATGGATAGGTAAAAATCTCTAAACGCTATGTAGAGGTGTCAAAAATAAAATCAAACATAAGTAACTTGCTCAATTCACCCAGAATTTTAAGCGTTGGGTTCAAGATAATCTGAATTGGACTCAATCTCAACTCATTCAAGTTTAACTCATTTGAAGAGAGTTTCTAATTGAGCCAAATTCAATATCTAATTTCAACCCGTTTTAACACTTTTTATTAAGATATGTTTCTATATTGAAGGTATGAATTATTATCTATTTAACATCTTTTCGGATTTATCTATCCATTTGTTACCTTTTTAACAAAAAATACTTGAGCGAAAATTCAAATTGTGATTATAAAAGTTAAATATCGATATGTTAAATTATTAAGATTAATCGAATTAAATTGGGCAGGTCAAGACCTAACCCATTTTTTAGCCCATTTGAGTCAAAGTAAACTTGGGCGGGTCAAGACCCAATCCGATTTCTATTCAACCCATTTTAATATTTCTAATTTCAACTCAACCCACCCATTTAACACCCTAACGCCGTGAGTGCTACAAAACATTTTAAAAAAGGTATATGGTTTTATATTATTTTTGAAAGTGACGAACAATTTAACGAGTTCCCCCACATTTGAAATAGAAAACATTGAATTGGTATGGTATAAAAACAAAGTCAGAAATCTGCAAATTGGGTTGACAAACAAAAACCCAACAAGGCTAATCTCTTAACGGGTTGAAATCAAGGCTTCAATTGCTTATTGCAGACCATTAGGTAATGCATTCATTATGACTACTTATACTTGAAATTTCATTTCTTTAGTCAGTGGGAGGGTTTACAACCAGTTAAGCCAATAGCATATCTGGCACAAGCTTCATAAACATCGGTTACATCAGTAGATCATTGATTAGCATATCTCCTCTGAATAGTCTACATAGACCCTAATTTCTATTACTATTAATTTAAATTAATCATATCATATTATAAGATGATAAATGTTCTCTGTATCTATATGACTCTATCAATATGTACACTTGAAATTTTACAAACATTGTACAATTTGAGTTTGAAATAGAGGATAGCGAAATATTATAGATGTTTCGCATAGTAAAAATGACCTTCCTTATCAAGTATTTAGTTACAATTGATTAAGTGTAAACACTCGATATTTCATACCATCTAATTGTATCACGTATGTGGCCCCCAAATTCATGTTTCTGTTAAGAGAAAGTTGCTAAATTTTAGCTCAAAGTGACTGAAAAGGCCCACTCATGTGGGTTGGTTCAACATGGGAAATCATAAATCCATAGAGTGGTCCTGCTCCATCTCAATTGCACGTTATGGGTTGCGGGCCTATGTTATACATCTCAAAAATTCTTATCAAATTGCTTAGTTTGGAAATATGAATAGTTGTTGTTAATCATTTCTGACAATTAGATTGATTGATTTATCCCCAACCACTCCTTTGGGGTGTTAGATCAAATGGGGACTGATGTGTGCTATATTTAGATGAGTTAAATGGATCCTAATCAATAAATATGTCTATAATTGTTTAGTAGTTTCTGGAATTACGATTATTGACTCAATTAAAACTACGTAAGTCATAATCATCTTGCTCAACTTAAAAATTTATTACGTTTTGTATTGGTTAATTTGTACTATATATGCGGCCAAATTAGGTCTTGAATTTATAAATAGGTTAACTTGATTGTAACAAGCTTATATTATGACGAGCTAAATGTGATACCTTAATAACAAGCCTTCTTATTTTAAAAAGATTGATTTAAGTTTATGAGTTTCGATGATTCTTGGTTTGGCATTGAACCCCGACTTGTATATGTTGCTGTTCTCCTCGTAATATATGTACCCCATGCAAAATTTTTAAACTTATCTACGGATTTCAGGATAAAATTATTGAGTTTTTATTTGGAATTGTAGAATAAATTATGTATTTGCTTCTTCTTTTTTCTTTCATTTTTTTTTGTTGGTTGTATAGAAGCATACAAGTGTATGCATCATTTGAAACATTGACCATGGTACTCAAGAGACATGTCCAACCACTTCAAGAAGGGGGGAGAAGGAGATCTAATAAATTATTTGTTAGTTGTTACAAACAAAATACACTAAAAAGGAGAGGCAAAAAAGATAAGATAAAATATGGAGTTAAGGCAAAATTTGAGATCTTGTCTAGCCCTTCTAAGACATTGTAACAAGTCTAGAACTCAAAAATAAGCATTAAATTTGGTGTCTATAATGCCTTTCACCATACCCCATCGCATCATCCAGCAAATCAATTTTATCAATAATCCAAAAAAGAAATGAAAAATAGTCTACTTAAATATTTGGATCGGCATAAAATGACAACTGACAAGTATCTCGTGAAATAATACGATATACCTACCTCTTAAAAACAATCGAATTACGCACAAATGACTCACGCTAGGCTCACCAATGCATTCAATATTTAGAACTTACATCATGAGCAAGATAACTTGTATCATTATTCTCTCTATTCGTTTTGAAGAGGATATAGATGTGAACCAACACAAGAATTTTCAATCCAATTGTATTACATTTATCACTTCAAAAAGTCTTGTTATGTTCCCTTATGACAATCATTTACTCAGACAATTGGTGACATTTCACAAAAAGTCCAATCCCCTAACTTCATAACTAACAAAAAATTTTTACAATCCAGCGCGTGATAGAATTGACAATGAACTTTGTTGTTTAACTACGTAATTTATTCAATCGCTACGTTCAATTTTTGTAATTGTGTGTGAACGTCAAAAAGAAAAGGAATGCTTGTAATGCCCACACCAATTATCGGCAATCAACAGCCGATGGAAAACATAAAATACTCGATTTGATTTTACATTGAACTCAATGTTTATATCGAGCATAGAAAAATATTCACAAGTACTTAATTCTGAATTCACAATTTCAAAATATAATGAGTTTAGTAGCAAAAAACAGAAAATTCTCATTAATTTCCATTTTCCCTTTGATTAAACACACATAAAGTAATAAATATAAAATGTTTTATATTGCATTACCTAATAGAAAATGAGTGTTGTAACCATGTGCATTTGAAAACATTGCTCATACACCACATTTTTTTCAGAAGTAAATTATGTACTAATACCTTAATTACCTAGTACTCAAACTCACTCGTAGAATTATACTAGATATGTTATTTTTGTTGTATTGCTACGAGTGCAATCAACAACAACACTCTCAAAAGAATGTTAAAAAAAAAAAAGTTTAAAAAGTTAAATACTTAGTAAAGTAGTTAAAATACCTTCTATTAAATACTACTTTATTGGAAATTTGAACCTGGAGTGAAAATTGCAAGATCGGGCCAACCATTGTTACCACCATTCCAACAATTATTAGATTCTCCACCATTTTGAACACCCAAATATGAAGTATTCCCATTTTGATGGCCCGAACTCGAAACTGGGTTACCCAACTGTAAAGTGGACCCATTATTATTATTCGGATTCAAAGCTTCGAGAAAATTCCCAAATTGCGGCTCGGTTGACGCTAACAGTGAGCTGAATGGACCAGTACTAGTAGTCATCACATCAAAAGATGGAATTGCAGGTATACCGAATGGCTCTGGTTTTGGATTTGTGGATGAAGAAGATGATGTTAATGGAGGAGTTGCAGGGGATGTAGTTGAAGTTGATGAACTTTTCTTACTCGATGATGATGAAGATGAAGATCGTTTTGTGCTTTTACGAGAACCTCCACCAACAGGTATGTTACGAAGAGTACCGCCTTTAGTCCAATACCTTCTACAGCTTTTGCAATAGTGGCGTGGCTGAGAAAGGTTATAATTGTTGTAGTAGCAGAATTTTGTGTTTGGTGAATCACATCTAGGGCATTTCAGGTGTTCCTGCTCTGGAAATTGAGGCTTAATTTGTGAATAAATTGATGGGTCTTGCATAATTTTCAGCTTAAAAATAGTAGAATTGAAATCAAATTTGTTGTTCTGAGAAGTGGCGAAAGGAAAACTTAAAAGAGGACCAAAAGGAATAGATATTAATCAAACCAAAACAACTTTATAAGCCACAAAGATAGATGGCTATTAAAATTTTCTGAATATTATGAAAACCAGATTTGTATACCTCCAATTTTGCACCAAATTAGTGACTTCAGTAACCAAATTCTGAATTGAAATCTTTCAGAAAATTGAGAAAAAAGAGGAGAGAGGGTATAAGTAGATTTTGAAGTTTGAATGAATGATGTGTATTGATCTGCAGAATTACGCGTGAGAGTCGTCACCAAATATACTAAACTCAGAGAGAAGTAGAGTTTCTTCTCTCTTTCTTATGCTCTTTTTAAGCTTATGGAAATGGAAGTTTTCTTCGGGTTTAATGATAAATACTTCTTCGATTTTAGAGTTAAAAAAGAATTAAATCAAATTCAATCAGAAATAATAATAAGTAAAATATTTAATATAGGAAAATGCTTCTTTTTCAATTTACGTGACACTATTTCAGATATAGATTAAGAGTACTCGTGCATTTTTCCTTTAAGATAAAGGTGTATTATATTAGAGTTTTGTTAAATTAAAAAAATTAAAAATTATTTTGCTAAAATAATGTTATGGAAGCTAAAAAAACATAACAATAAAAAGTAAAAGAACAGCAAATTATAATACATTATATAAATAAAATAAGAAATTATGAAACTACTAATTTAATAATACAACCAAACAACAATAGTGAAAAGAGATATATAGAATCATAAAATCAACTTTATAGATAGTAACACTTTATTCTTTATATAAAAATTTTTGATACAAATTTAAATTCGATCAAATTATAATATAAATTTAATTGAATGTCAACATAAATATTCGATATCAAAGAAAATAGACAACTTAAAAAAAAGGAATTCTTTGTGGTCCAGTTTCAAAGCAGTATTTAGTGAAGTCTCACTCAAGCTGATTATGGAGATTGGCTAAATGCTAAAGAGGATCTAGTAAAATGACACACTGCCATTCATTTTTTTAAAAGAATTTTCAAGTTGGTAGGAAGAAAAAATAAAAAATAATCTAAATGATTTAAATTAGTCTGTTTTATTTGGTTAAAAATGATTTAAAATAGTTAGTACTTTCTTTGAAGCCTTGGCTGCTCTAGGGAGGAAAAAAATTAAATAAAACAGCCAAAAGCTATTATAATAATATTGTTAAATCATCAATGTAATTAGTGTTATTTAATTCAAACAAGGAGACAAACGTCAATTCTCGTCTTTATAAATGTTCACTAACCTTACATCAAATTAAATAAATAACTCTTGTTTATTTTATTTGATTGAAGCGTTTTTCATTTAAATATTACAATAGGTAGATGTGATTTCAACAATTCACCATTTTCTTTTTCTTTTTCTTTTTTCTTAAAATTAAAAATAACTTTTTTTTAAAAAAAAAATCGCAGAATCAAACGTCACTAGCACAAAAAAAAGGTTCCTCAAAACAATGTGATATCTATTACCTCTAGTATATAAATAATGTGGATGATTTCTTTGTTTTAGTTTATGTAATAAAATTAATTTCAAAAGTTTAATTAAAACATATTTTCATGCATTATAAATATTTTAAGTTATAAATTATCGTATTTTATGATATTTTTTACGTAATTTTTTGAAATATGAATCTAATTTTGAAAAATTTATGTTTAAAATTATGATCAAAATTTAAAAATTAGAGCTTAACATTTTAATGTTATTCATTTATTTTGTTAAAATTTCGACAAAACCAAATTATTCGTTCGTAGGAAATAACAATTGGAGGGGGATTTAACTTTAATGGCATGTTTGGCAAAAGACTTTAGCATTATTTTGTCGTGTTAGACAACTATTAAGGAATGTCTTAGTCAAAAAAAGATACTATGAACTTGACTCCGCATCCCTAAAATAATCCGCGTGATGACTTTTCTTCTCATGTTCCTATTCTTAACTTATTACTCCTTCGATCGCGTTTAAGAATTATGAGATGAATAATTGATATTTGTATGTTTAAAAATAATTTTACTAAAGATAAAATGAGGAATTTAAAGTTAAATTACTTTTCTTTTTATCTTAATCTATGTAACACATTTTATTTTTTCAGTATCAAACAATTTAAGTTTGACCGAGAATATATTCATGAAATTTTCAATTTATATATATATAACTACTTAAAAAGTAATATTATAACTAAAAGTAATTAATGATTCAAAATATTTGAAAGATATATGAAAATTTTATGATTAAAAATAAATTTGCTTAAATCTCAAAATTTGAAATGTCATATAAATTGAGACAATGAGATACTAAATAAGAAATGTGTCATTTTCCATTAAAGAATATTTTTTTCTTGTTGTGAACCTTACGCAATGTCAAATTAATGAAATGAATTTCAAGCGTTTAATCAAAATGGATTGTAAATATTCAAAAGAAACTTATCAACCAGACATTTTAAAGAGAAAAATAAGTACTTTTTATTATTTCCAAGCAAATCAAGACATATAAATTGCAACAAAGTTGGAATAAATATTATTTATTTTATTTTAACATACATGATATAATTCGAATTTTAAAAATTAAACAAAAAAATATATTTATTAATAACTCGAAAGATCTAAAAAAATTATCGTAAAAATAGATAAGTCGGATCTCCATAGAAACAAAATAAAGATATTATTATTAAAAAAAAAAGCGGAAATATCAGAAATACAAACATGAATTCGGCTCGGCTGCAAGTAAAAATAAAGCTGATTATTTATCAAGGAAGCCGACCGCCAAGTCGGCAACAGTAACAGAGCAGCCAAAGCTTGCGTGCAAACAAAGCAGAAATAAGACAATAGAGCATCATGATGATATATTCATCGTAGCCGTTGGATTCTCATTGTTGGAGGAATCAAGACCGTACATTTGTGAGCCAGATAAACGGAATCGTAGCGTTGAGTGGTCGAAAAGCCACGAGCCAATCTCGCCGGAGACATGTGGCGGAGCCCCCCATGATGATGTTGGAGTACTAATATGACCTTTTTATGGTCAGAGAATGTGAATTGTTGCAACAACACTTCTATTGCGGACTATACCACGATCAACGTGAAAAGTTCAAAAAAAATAAAAAATAAATTTACTAAAGTTTTTATTATGTGTAAAATTTTAAAAACATCAAAGAAAAAGAAAATATTTTTACGACTTTCTGATTACATATAATAACTTTTACTCATTACTCCAAAGTTTTTATTCAAAAGTTAAATACGTCTTTTTCGTTGTTTATCTGTTAATTAAGTCTGTCCATAATTATTAAATATTAATGTTATCCCAGATCAAATTGAAATTACTCGTGTCCCCGCTTTAGACCCACCTAAACTAATTAAATCCTAACTGATTAAACCTCAAACCCAACTTCACAAGCTGAAGCATTGCGTTAATTTCAAGTAAAAGGCCTTAACTTCATTTTAATTTTGAAGAATTTGTTGAATTTTGTAAAATTTCTAGGTAAATTTTCGATAATTATTATTTCTTCAAATATAAGATCGATTAATGTGACAATGTCAATATAAATTAAAAGGAAGAAAATATATTTAATCGATGTGCAGAAAGTAGTGAGATACGGCACAGCGTCATTGTTGTCAAAACCCGCGTAAAACACGGCTGATCAGTTAGCGTGGCCTTCCCTTGGGCATTATGAACACATAGGGCCCAAAGCCATTAAGTCATAACCATGACTATTCCATTTAATGATTTTGCTTACTACGATTTGACTCCCTATACATATTAAATTATGTTCATTGTGTCACTTGCGCATCCCAACTTACAAAATCATCATCACGATACATCAACAATATGCTGATAAATAAATATGAATTAAAGTATCTAGTGATCAATTGACACCAAACTAAGGTGTATACATATGCACTTTTCAAAGTCAAATGTTACTTGCCATCTGAGATCAAATATAATTGTATATTTATGCGTCATGTTTTTTTTATTTTTGTTACCCACCCTTAACACAAGTCAATTTTTAGTCTAGTAGTTGAAGTGTTATGAAAATTTCTTGAAGCCATGTAACACCCCCTTAATGACAATCCTGAGCGCGCGACTGGCTCAGAGCGTATTCCATCACCATCCACTTAATTTGTTATCACATGAATGCAATTAATAATTCCATTAAGAACTAATCATGGTTATAGTAAGACCCACCATTTAGCAATGAGTTTTATCATGTGAAACTCTGCTTCTCTTTCAATTTCCCCAGAGTGTGAATTCGATCGATCTTTTTCTTTTTTTTTTTCCAAAAAAAAAAGGGCGATAGCTAAGTTACTAACAGTAACATCCACCATTTAGCAATGGCAAAAAATAGCGCAAGTCAATGACCAACAAAAGTGGCTAAACAAACAACAGGACATGACTTCTGCAGTTTTAGTGCATTCGAGTGAAACTAGACCTATCACTTTTGTCACTGTATTGTACTACTGATTTCAAACGGGAGAAATGTAGGAAATCTTGATCAAGAAAATCAATAGACAGTTAAACAATTTTTGACATATTATCAAAAATATATGCTAGATAAAAAATAATAATTATACTATACATCACACGAGTTATATAATATTGACAAACTACATAAGAGATGAAATTGCAGCTATTACCACTATGCTGCTCCTTTTTTAGCCCAACACTACAAAGGTAGACTTTATTCACAGCATGCCATAACTTACTTTCTTTCACACACAACAGCGAATAATACAATTATTCCACATTATAATGTTCTAAACTTAATTTAGTGAGTCTTCTGATTAAATCCTAATTCCTCGCAATTCTTTTAAGTGGTTGAAACCAAAAAGAAATATATTCACTAACAACGATGGCTGTTCTTTTTAAAATAAAAAATAAAAAAATCAGTTCTTTGTTGAATTTCTAGGTAGACATTTATTTGTCTAGAAAGGATCTCGCTTTTGTCTCAATTTTAGCGATGGTATTTAACTAAAATATCTTTTATAATTTGAGCTCTAAAATAAATTAATCTCTCATCTTGTTAACTAAATAAAAATAGACATCGAACTTAAATAGAATGAGCAAGTAATAATAGACGGAGGAAGTACTAAACATGAAAATCATCCTTTGGACGACGAAAACGAAGTATCACATCTAGGAAGGACAAAAATAGAAACTCAAAAAGAATATTTACCTAAAGGACTAGAGTAGCTATAGCGAAACATACAGACCGACGATGACAAATTTTACACGTCAAATATGCGACACAGCAATTTGTTGACATGAATTTCAGTTCATACGCACAACAAAGACAATTCGAAGACAAATATATGATTCGTACATACAGTTGAAAGCAATATGTAGCAGCAAAAATAACGTATGATATGATTAAGCAACACAAACATCAATTATACTGTTCCATCACAACAGTACTAACTGCAATCCAATATGAGTAGTAGAATGTTAAAACGCTGAAAATTCTGTAAGGAGTGACGAGCTTAACAGTGCCAACTTCACTTCCAAAAAGCAAAAAATACAAGTGAACAAATGTCAGTGCCCTTCAACTTGTTTTACAGAAAAAATTTACTTTAGTTAATAATCTATAACAAAAGGCACACTGATTTATCCTACAAAAAATAATGCTATCCAACAAAATAAGCTAAGCGCCCTGCAAGTTAGCAGCAGCTCCTTCCCACCATTTTCAGTAAAAACTACATTTACCTTAAAACCTAGTGGCATTTTTTTTGCTTGTAGGAGAACTAAGGCATTCTTTCTCTACTCCGACCCAATATAATAACAAATTCAAAAGACTGAAGCAGTAAACGAGAAGAAGAAGATAAGAACGCGAGGTCATCAGTATGCTGATAAAGACAAAGTTGGTTTGTTTGGAGTTTTTCATCCACTTCTGGACCATGCATGTTACAGGTTGGCGAGGCACCTGGAAGTGAAATGGTAGAACCTCAAGCTGCTTCTGAAGAAAACGTTTCTTAAAAAAGCAACCTGAAAAAATGCTATCCAAGAAACTACATTCCTCCTGTTAACACTTATGCATAATACATATACAAGCTGTTTGCAGCGGCACAGGCAATTGAATTTTCGGTTGGATGCCACGCTAGATGGAGCAACTTCGTTGTGAAATCAAATGAATTTCCATTTGCATCAACACCTGGACTTTCTGAACCTGTAATGCAAATAAATGTCATCCAGTATATTTCGTCATGCTGATATATATTTCCGGCAATAAGAGAAGTGTAAACATGACTTATTGTCGAGTGCATATATGAATATATGCATACCTCTCCTGACAACACGTGTTATGCTACTGCTCAGGGACCTGGAAGGTCTTGAAGGAGTCTGTACTTGTCTTCTGGTGGAGCACAATCAATGTCAGTCAGACCAAGACAAACAACATTTATATCCAAATCTATTCACATGAAGAAGATAAGATATACGTACCTCATGGGGTTTTTGCTAGCTTCCAGTGTAGTTGCTTCAGTAGTGCCCGCAGCACAACCAAAGACACGGAAAAGATTACTGAAATCATAATAATAATAATATTTTTAAAAAACAAACAAAACAGAAGTGAACTAATAAAAGGAAATCCAAATAGTTGACAGTCTACACACCTATAAGAACCAGTAGCTACTCGCAGCCCATCACCACTAAGGCAACACTCGAACTTGTCAAAGATGGAGTCATTCTCATATAAATCACATAGCTGTGTATCAAAAAAAAATATATGATCAGCTAAGAGACATGACAAAAATAGACAAGTAACATCTTGATCCATATGGTAATTCACCTTTGGTCTTAAATATTCATGAACCTGGAAGGTTGACACTGGACCAGAATCCATATTTATGTCCCATAGCTGAAAAAAGAAATGTAAGCTCAGTAACAAGGACACACTCTTGTCCATAAAAAAATGGAAAACATACAAGCATGAAAGACCAGTGGCCTCCTAACAATAGCTGAACCAAGGATGACCCAGCTTGAAAACCAGAAGCAACAACTATACTTGTAATATGAATTCCTGGTCTAGGTCTCTACTAAAATTATATGTAGTTTAGCAACAACACATAAGCATCAAATATTATTATTAATTTACTATTATGCTATAATTATCGTAGTCTTCCTTTTTATTACTACTATTATTACTTCTACTCTGGTTATTTATACTTTTTTTGCTATAGAAAAACGATTTTCTTGAGCGGAGCGGAGGGTCTGTCGGAAACACTTCTCTACCCCCACAAAGGTAGGGGTAAGGTCTGTCTGTGTACACCCCTGATCACACTGGGTGTGTTGTTGTTGTTGTACGTAAGCATCAAACATTGGAGGAAGTGTTTCACATAGAACTAGACAAAGATAATACAGCTAACGTTGAGCAGAATCTTAACAAACTTGCTTAAGATAAAGGTGGAGTGGTTCCTATTACAGAACTGAAACCAACAATTAAACTCTAATCAAATTTTTCCAGTCAATCAATCATCTCTGAGATCCAGATTCACCCTGCAGGCCATAAAAGTGTTCAATCTTGAAACTACTGCTAAATGTCATTTAAACTTTAAAAGAGAGTGGTTTAAACTAAATCATCTGTGTGATGGAGTTTGCCAATCATTCCCTTCCTTTTTCGCTGGCTAAGTCTTCGAGAAAACCTCATGCAGCAGACATCAAATTCAGTATATTCAACTGCAGCTTGTAATATGTCTGCTCATATTTAAATGGAAATGTTTCACCTTTCATTTAACCTACCAACAACGATAAGCTAACTGATGTAGAAACTAATTCTCACATGAATTATTTAGCTAAAAAATGCAAATTGACACAATATTGAAAGCAATAATATGCATACATCAATCCATCAAACCTCAATTCCAAATTCAAAAGAGCGGGGAGGAAGGGGGGCTAAAGACACTATTTGAATCCGATTAAAAATTATCTTCAAAAGCGCATATAAAAGGAAAAAAGGAACCCAATGTTCAACAGCAAAATATTTAAAAAGTAGAGCTCAGGGAACTTTGAAAATTTCTAATTAGGAAAGAAATAAGAAACAAGATGCTTCTACCACATTGAACTAAGAGATATTGAAATAGAAGATGACAAGATGTTTCCACCAAGATTTCAGAAAAATCTGGCAAATAACAGTTATGAATGCAAAAGTTTGCCAAAAGGTAATATAAGGATCAAAGGTGAAATACCGCCATCAACTAATACAAATAACAGTAAAAACTTGGGAAGCACCACCAACATGAACCACATTCAATGCATCTAGAATCTCATAAATATTCTTTTCCAGAGTAATTGTACGAGGACTTTAAGTGCACTTGTGAGTATTCCATATCATATAACAAGTTCAATACAATATCAACTTAAGTAAACCAACCTTTAGGGTCATATAGTCACGGCTGAGTATGTATCTTCCATCCTTAGAAAATTTAATATCAGAAATTGAAGCAATTATCTCTGTGAAAAAAGATCTTGAACCAGGTGCTTCTTGCTCCTCAAACCTGCATAACAAGGAACCAGTATTTTTAATCGATAAAGCTATCAGGAAATAATTTAAATACATAACTATGCCTGCAAAAGTAGCTCTATTCCAGATCATTTTAATCCATCTTTTATATCGTCACATGTAAAGAAGAAAAAAATCCACATGCATTGAAAATTAGAGAGATTTGAAAAAAGGGTGGAACTTACAACTGAGAATGTGAGTCGCACAAAGCTGACTGCCGCAGATCTACGAGACGAATCGACCCTTTTGAACTACTATAAGCTAACGTATTACAATGAGTAGGATGAAATTCTGCTGAAGTTATCACCTCTGCAATAAATATAACACAAGGCACTTCCAAAAATTAAATTTTGTGACCTAGTTGAGGTTCTCACAACAAAGGAACTCAGGAAAAACTTACCAGTCAAATCTTCCATATTTGTTGGCTTGACATCAACAATATTGAAACTCTGATTGCTTATTTCCAAGTTCCAAAGGTTGACCCGGAGATCATCAGCAGATATAAATGTTTCGCCGTCACTGAGTTGAAAAGAAGAATGCCGGACAAATTACCATGAGCTCTCGTAAACCAGAAAAAACAATATGGCAAAGCAGAATTACAAGAGCAATATATTCACCTGTTATTTGAAATAGAGTTGATGTGATAGTCATGTGCATGAGCATACACTCTTCTGCACCTAGCAACAAGGCTGGTCTCATTACTTGTTACCTATAATAAACATAGCAAAGCTTATATTCAGGAGCAACAATGAGGACATCATGTCAAGATTGAAAAGGCAACAACTATCTTGGGGAGAGGAGATGTGGCAAAGCACCACAATTCTTCTACCAATCAAGAGAAAAATGAAGGCACAGAAAACATTTCAGTTCCAATGATCCAAGTATGAGGATTTGAAGATAAAACAATGTCTGTAACCATATCATGCAAGAGAAACCAAAGTCATTTACAAAAGCACATAAACACATGAACATAGGTTGTCCTGACTAGTATATGTTAAAATTTCACCCACCATCAGACCTTGGGTGCACAATTAACTATGTTAAGAATACAAGTACCTTTTTTTGAGACTACAGACAAAACTAGAACTAGAAGAAACTAGAAAGAACAGTCTTCTCAGTAACCAGGAGTCCAGAAACACCATGTACATTGTTCCACTCAAGCTGCAACTTCATGAGATCTGTTACTTTTTATTAATTTTTTTTTTGTATAAGGAATAAGAAAGTAACTTGATACTACCTAACAATATCTTTATGACATTGCTCGCATTTCCATTTCCATAAAACCTTAAAGTACGATCATAGAAACTTATTAAAATGCTTGGCTGATAAATAAAATGTAATGCACATAGACATATTTGACATTCCATAAACAACTGAACATACAGGGCATATATAGCTTAAGTACAACTACCACAGGTAAACGTAATGAAGAAAAGCCCCCAGGTGGAAACGACAAATCATTGCTCAAGCAATTCAAAGATCTATCTGCATAACCCCCATTAGCACTACATTGCTTTGGACTGGAAGAAACACTAGAGCTGGCCACACTGCCATTTCCAACAGCTCTAGAAGGATCAATATTCATATCATATATCTTCTTAACTTTCTTCTCTTGGACCTGAATCAGCAAAAGAAGAAAAGAACACTCAGCACATTGATAAGGAATCCACAAAAATAATAGCCAAAGAGAAGTGGCTTCACAGGTAGACAATAGATGCAACATAAGTCAACTCTCAACTAGTACACATCTCAACAACAATCAGAATAGCTCTCCACCACAATTGAAATTAACAATCAATATTGCTCAACAATGCAACAGCAAAAATGTATCTTGAGTCATAGAGAAGAATATTAAACTTAGCACGTTACATTCAACTAAGTTACCTTCCAATACTTAATGGTTTTGTCATTGGTGGATAGAAGAAAGAGGGCACCATTAGACGATTGGCACCAACGGATCTTGTTGATTTTCTCCTCAATTTCCAAACTCTTCAGATAATCAAACTGAACAGAAAGATGCGATGGAAAAAGTTAAAATACTATTTGAAGCAAGAAAAGAAGGAAAGCAAAGCAAATGAAGAATGAGAAATGGCAGCAAGAAGCAATTCAACCCTACACAGTTGCATCTGGACAGGAAAGTGGTACATGAGAACCAGATCACTAATAATCTCCTAACTCTTTCATCACACCAAAAAGGAAGAACAAAGAACTGGCAGATACCTCAGGCTCATGGCTTTGAAATTCTGTCTTGTAACGGAACTCTGGATGCCGACTCACTGAATAGTCCATTCTCTCTAGCTCTCTCCGACTTCCAATATTCTAAATAAAAACAATGCAAAAGGAGAGACATGATCAGCGGAAACAACCTCCAATTTTTAATAGATCTTCTGAACAGCATTGTGAAGAAACCCACCTCTTTTGTATCAGTTCTTTCAAATAATACAACCCTACCACCACGATCTCCAGTAGCAAGATGGTCACCAGTTTTATCGAACTCAATTGCGGAGATGATATCAACTACAACAATAATGATGAGAAAATACATCATGATACTCAAAAAAGTAAGTGCAGTGAACATCAAAGAGAGAAAGCAAAGCATATAAATCCCCATGCAACTGGAAATGGTACGTCTGCATTGTCCTGGCACTTCAAATAAATTTACAAAACAAATTTGATTTTAAAATTTTGTTTCTAAATTAAGCTCATCTGCAGATCCTATCATGGTCCAACAGTTGGCTATGCAACAATTTTAGATAATACGAATTGCCACTGTTACTAGTCAAACCATGTCATACAACATGGAGCACCAGATGAGTTATTCATGAGTATCATGGAAAGAAACAATTGAATGTTTGCTAGCACCAACATGTGTGCAAAATCAAAATCTGAAGGCATGCTTGAGCCAAACTAAACAAGAAGCTGTACATATAGGAAAAGTGTAGCTTGTGAATCTGAACTAGGGAATAGATGTGAATAAAATAGTGAAACTGATGCAGCCATGGTTTTGGAAGTTCAGAGATCATCGCAACATGACCAAACGGATCTTAGTGCTGACAAAACTAAATTTATCCACATTGGCTATGCACGTTCATTAGAAACAATAAGAAGAAAAACACAAGTCTGAAAATAAATTCCATGAGCTTGGACTTCGGACACCATGTGTGTTGGTATTAGGCAAACAGGTACTTGAGACTTCTGAAACAACATGTGTTCGTATTAGGAAAGGAAAGCTCCAATGATCAAAAGATCACTAGTAAATGGCATATGAAAGTGCCTTTAGAGGCGATGAAAGAGACATGTTTAGGCATTAGGAAATGAAAACTCCAATGACCAAAAGACTAATACTCAGTGCATCCTACATTCTGCAGCGGACAGACTGCATATTTCAGACAAATAAAACATGAGATAGAAGTAAAAGAAAGAGATGCAAGAGCAGAAGGAGCTTGACTGTGGTATAAACTAAAAAAAGAATGGACTTTGATGCACACCATGAATCATGATTAAGGAAAAGAAAGTTTCATGGCTAAGGATGCTGAATCAAAGAGAAATCCAGATTCAGTTTCATTCTTAAAACTAAATTCCTACGCAAATTAGGTAAAATGACATCAAACTAATCCAACTCCCCATTACCTTCCGGTGCATATACTCTTCATGCTGGTAGATACTTGAGTAGCTAGATACAAAGCCACAACAAATTTCAAATCCTTCTATTAAAGGTCATGCAACTTACTACTCTCACATCAGAACAATCTTAATGGGGAAGCTAAAGGAAAGGGTAGTATCTACAAAGTGTTACAAGCATTCAGCCTAGATCGACTTTGGTTAGATGTTCACCTCAACCTAGTTTACAAAAGGACAACCAAACCTATAGTAATCTACATTGAGTTACTTTCTGAAACATAAAGATTGGAACGACCAACTCCACAAGGCATTGCATATACTTCATCTTGAAACCAAGATAGCATATTGGGACTACCTTATGGGAGCCTTAAATATATATATATATATATATATATATATATATATAGACATTTCGTACGACAAATTGAAGTACTTTATGGGAGTAACAACATTTTACTGAGCTGCAGCAAAATAGACACCAATAAAAGCTCACATTCCATTAGCAACATCAAATCTTCTGACATTTTAAGTGATGGGAGGCATTTATTCTTGAGACGTTTTACCTGACATATCTCTATCTACACATACTTCCATACTCCATTTGAAATGAGGCAGTTGCCCAACATCATACCTTAAAGATCAAAAGCTTAGTGCATGGAGCTAAAAGAATGTCCGGTGACTGCCTTAATACTAACCATACATGATTGCATGTGCAGTTACACCACAGCATCATGATTTACATTTGCGCATACATAAAGTTCCAACACTCCAAAGCACCAAAGAAACAAGTGAAGACAGCAGCTACCACCCTTTAACATGACGCTTGCATCAAAAGTCAAAAACCTAAACTTCATACTTCATAGTCCTCAACTAAATTAAGAACAATGACAGACTACACTTTAAAAAACAATCATCTAGATCTGGACACGAGTTAAAACAAAATCTAAGTAACAACAAACTTGTCAAGAGTTCAGTAGATACTGTCCTCAATTGGCTAAAATCTCCATCACTCAATCAAACCCGGTGATCGAAAACTCACAGATTTAATAACCTTTCAGTATGGTACAACCGCATAACCGATCAAAACCCTAATTTGAACACTGACACCGAACCAACCATGGATCCAAATGTAAAAGAGGTGTATAAGTGAAATAAAAATTCTGAAAAAAAAAATAATAATAAATTACCTTCCTGAACTTCTTCTCCGGCCGTACGTTCACCAAATACCTGAGAAAATTTCCACTCAAGCGGCGGTGGTGGACCCGCCGGAGCTGCCGCGACATCTCCACCATCACCGCCGTTCATTTTTATAATAATTTTTTTTCCTTTCAACAGCCGAAATTAAACGAAAACGAATCAAATCGACAGAATTAAGAAGAAGAAAATGAATCACTTCATGAAAAGCGATCGGTTTTTTAGGTTTGGCAAATGGTAAAGTTCATAGAAAAATGAATGTCGGATTCAGATTCAAGCATTACAAGTTCGTAAAACATTATCAAAAAGAGCACATGCCCCTCTTTCAATTCCAGATTCTCAAATTATTATTTTTTATTTTTTCTGTGATTGGATTGGGGAAGGAGAAAATAGGGAATTTGCCCTTCTTTTGTCTTGGAACAAAAGAACACTCTTATCTCTCTAAGCTCTATCAATAATATAATTACTCCAGTACAATCTTTCTCTCTCTACACACCTTTTTATTATTTGTTTTTGTTTTTACCCACATTGGGTCACCTACAAATGAAATTGAATAACCTATTTATTTATTTTATTGGGTCACAATAAAATATTTTAGTTATTTTATATTATGAATCATATCAAAGGTCTAATTTGAGATTGAACTTTTGTTAATAGGGAGGTGGTGTTGGACGGAGAGGGACGAGTTGAGTTTGATTAAAAAATTAAAATTTATTCGTTATTTGCCATGCATTATTTTTTAAATAAATTACTTTAAATTGCTTTGTATTTTATTGATTTCGCACAATCTTAAATCTGCTTTACCACATAGCCTAAAACTCACTTGCCCTGCCGCATAGCCTAAGACTCACTTGTCCTGCGTCCATTCTGCCTCATTGTTATCCTTAGTTGTTTATCGAAACTGAAGTATAATGTGAACTTTTTCTCATTGATTGGTGATTAACTTAGCGTGTTTTGACAATTTACCATTGAGTTATATTAATTATAACAAGAATAAACATAAAGACAAATGGGAACAAGAAAGGTACTAATTTTTTTCGTATTTTAAAATATGATTGATCGATATATTAATTAATTGATTATGATTATTACTATTTTTTTTTAGTGTTTTGATATATACGAGTGAATAAATAAAAAATATAATAAAAGAAAATTTTATCTAATTTAAATACATATCAAATAGACAAAAAAGAATAATACAAGATAACTGATAGCTGAATTTAATGATAGATTTAAACAAAATAAAGAACAAAATTTATCACTTATATACGTTTGTTGAAAGTTAATACTTTTTGTTTCACTAAAACATTTAGCAAACTTTTATGTTGGATTTGAAAAGTATGGTTACATTTTATCTTTATTTTTTCCTAGTTATAATAATTTTTTAAAATGTATTTTTGGATATATTAAAATGTATCTTAGATACATTATAAATGAGTAACAATAAAATAAGAGAAACATAAAATGTGTATTTGAATAATTTTTTAATAATTTTTGTCATTTCTATTTTCTAAATATTTAATGATGCTTTCTAGGACGCAATTTCTATTTATTTATTTTCATTGTATTTTATACAATTTTTTTTGTATTGTGATTTTGGTGAAACTTTCTTAATATTTATATTTGAATTTATCTTTCCCAAAATCTTCTTTCAATCTAACAAACATAATTTGTTAAAAGCATATATGAGAATATTAAATAGTTCACTTTTTGATAAATTTTGAAAACTTAAAATATAAATATATATTTAATTGATTTTCATATATCATCATCTCAATAAATTAAACCTCTTGAATATATTCTTAAACGTAACTCTTTTTTAAGAATTGATTTTGCGTAATTTTTTATCCTCGTAAAAGCTTCACTTCTTTTGCATGTGTGCACAAATTTTATGAATAATTTTTGTGATCACTTTACATTAACCTATACTCTTAACATAAAATATTATTTTATACTTTTTTCACTTTTCACCATGTGGAGACCAAAAAAAATAAGAGCTCGTGTGTTATTGGTCTGTCGCATGAGTGGGCACAGCATGTGCAGTTAGTGGAAAAATTGTTAGTAATTCGTTTAAAAAAGAGCGATTCATTTTTATATTAAATAAAAATAATTTTAATTATATTTCATGAAGTGATTTATACCTATATAAATTTTTATTATTCATTTTAAATTAAAAGTTTTAAAATAGCTTTTTATTTTAAATTATTTGACGGATCAAATTATGTCACATAAAATAAGACGAATAAAGTACTACAAAATATGTTAATTGAACTGCTGTACTCCACTTGGCGTTGTAGAAAAGAAGACACAAAGGTAAGGTTATATGAAATGACGTTTATAACCTTGTCTTTTTTATTATTAACTTCACTTTTCAAATTTAGATGCTACCTCTTCATTTATTTATATAAAAAATATTATAATTAACCTCCTCCCTAAACAACAATGACATATTATAAGTTGTTAATTTATTTAAGAAATTATTGTATGTAAATAAAATACATTTAAGCATAAAAAATTTAATAGAATATTTTATTATGTACTTAATTAAAAAAGGTTACAGTAAATAGAAAGTCTAAAATAAAAAATAGTAATTTTAATTTATATAACACACTTTTTCTTTAATATAATAAAAAATAATGTTATTTTCTCTATAATTAAAACACAGCTTGACTTTACATTTTCTGTATATTGAAAATGATTTATATATATAAATATTTAAATTTTATTTTAAATCATATATTCAAAGATCTTCATTTATTTCTTAAATTTTATGTCAAAAAGAAATAGTGGTACATAAATTGAAATAATGGAAATAGCAAATTTGAAGGTCACGTAAGAAGCTATCAAAATATTTTTTCTACATTTACAAAATAATATTTGCATAGATATTATCTTGTTCAGATTTTATTCGTAGAATTACACTATGGTCAAATTTATTGTTGCGATACTAAACTTTTACGAGGACCTTTTATCTTCATGAACTATTTAATAGCGTATTTTTTATCCCTATATTATTTAATAGTGTATTTTAAAGGTACATATGTTGAATATAGTGCAGGCTGAGCTGGTTAACTTATCTACAAATTGTATATAAATAGTATCACAATAATAAATTCGATCAAAATTAAAATATTTTTGAGACTCTAAAATTAAAGGTTGCCACCTTTTGATTGAAGATGCTGCCTTCTTCATTTAATTATTAACCCATATAATACTAGTTGTTGTGGAAGATTGGAAATGATGTGATGTTTTTTGGTTGATTGAATAAATTAACTACTTGATGATTTGTGGATGGAATAAATTAACCATTTGATCATTTAGCATGTCTTTTTTTTTTTCTCTTTGGGGGAGACATGTTAATTTTCAAATGCTTTGATTGAATTTTGAAGCTAATGTGAACTTGTTTAGTTAATACTTTCTCCTTTACATTATATTCATTCTAGAAATTAAAATGTCAAACATATGGTTGAATTTTTCCAACACCAGCATTTTAATAAAATATAATAACTCTTGTTATATATCATTTATTTTCTACTTCTATTCATTATAGAGATTAGAATGTCAAAACACATGGTTGATTTTTTTTCAGTACAATACATTTTAATATTGTTATGATGTAGTATAATTAAAGGGTCGTTTGGTACAAAAATTAACAACGCACTGATTAATAATATTGAGATTAGTAATGCAGAGATTAATAGTACATAGATTAGTAATGCAGAGATTACTTTTACCAAGTGTATGGTTCATTGTTTTCCACCTTATCTTGTGTTTGGATTAAATCTTTTTTAAAAAAAAATCAATTATACCCTTAAATTATCTTGCAATTAGATTAAGGTAAATAATTGGGACAATATTTTTTTTTATGGTCTTCTAATTAACTAGCTACTTTAAAAGAGCAATTTTTTAAAATGATCTTTTTTTGCTTAAATTATTTGAAGATAAATAATTATCATCTTAGTAAATTGATCACTTACAAATGTCAATTTTCAATTTAGAAAAAGATAAATTATCATCTTTTAAAATTGAAGAGACGGAAAACAATAGTAAAATTAAATAAATCATCTACATTTACGCACAAGATTGCAAGTTGCAATTTTAATATGTATTCAATTTTATAAATTGTTCAGAATACAAATAATTAAAAAATCACACAAACATACAACATAAAATCAAGAAAATAAAAAAATAATTAAAATATTTTGAGGGATATTTTTATCTTTAGTAGACTTATCCCATGGTATTATATCCCATGTATTACTAATACCTCCAAATGGAAGGTATTAGTAATACATCATATAATATCACGTAGGAGGTATAACTAATCAATGGATTAGTTATACATAGACCCAATTTTTCTATCAAACATAGTACTAAATAATATTATCCATAATAAATGAATTATTTGATTTAATACAGCCTATCAAACGACTCACAAATGTAAAAGCAAATCATAGAATCATTTAGTGCTCAATAAGACAATTAAGAAGATTAAATTAACGGATGAGGTCATTATTTTCTCATAAAAACAAAATAAATTAACTGGTGAATGAAATCTAAATGAGTTCTTTATTGTAGCTTTATATAATTTGAATAGTTTTCATTTCTTGGGTTAGTTTTTTTAAATTGTGTTAAATTCAAAGTTTATTTAACATAATTTTAGAGTTAGGTGCTCAATATAGATCGACGGATAGATTGTTCACGTATTTGACATTAGACAATATTTAATTGTTCGAGATTTGGTCACTATTCATCCGTTAACTTTAAATGTTGTTTTAGGCTCAAGTTTAACATTAACTATATAAGTATGTGTTAGTGTTAAACACAACTTGAACATTATGCTTGACAATTTTATTTCTATCATGTTAACTAAATTATCTTTGTAATTTTAAAAAATTATACACGATTCGTTCATTAATAATTTTGTATCATATTTCAATTAGACACATCAAAATACATATATTTTTATTATCAAATATAGTGTAAAATATAAATACATAGAGAGAGACGAATGAGAGGAGAGATGGAAGCGAGATATGAGGGGTCGAGTGAGAGAGTGTGTATATTCCAGATATATACAAAATGTATCTGGGATACTAGATAAATTTCGTATACTTTCTTAAATACAAAATACATAGGAAGAGAGGTGATTGGGATATGAAAGAGGCGAGCGAGAGAGTCAGTGCATCTTCGTTACATGTGAATCCACTTGGATACAACATATCTAGACAAAATTACATATAATTTTGACTCTAGGTATCAAAGATACATGTGTGCGTCCAAATACATGTATCTATTAACCAATATTATGCACACTTAGTAATTTTAATAACTCGTTGAAAGGCACGTAATTAATCCCTAAATTAGTGAGATCTGTGTTGTTCATCTTAGTTTCTATAGACCCAAATTGTTAATGGGCTGTATGTTAGCCCAATCAAAGTTACGTGAGATATGAGTAGCCCATATATTTGGGTTTA